ATTGTCGCATGGTAATCTCTGCAGGTACATTGACAGTCATCAAATCTGGAAAAGCTGTAACTAAAGTTTTTCTTTTGGAAAAGAAAAAAATAAATGAAAACAAACTGCAGTCATGAATAAGGTAGTTTTTTTGTTTGTTTGTTTGTTTTTTTTAAAGATATTTTTCAGTTCATCAGCAGCCTGTGAATGGAGCGGACATTAATTTTCTGAATCAGAGTGTGAGAATTTGTGGCACATTTTCTGAGGAAAATGAGGGACATCACTTTTGGTGTATTTTCCTGTCATAAAAACAGATTTGGTCTACTAAGTTTAATTAGCAACGATTAGACTTTTTTTATTATAACAAAGTTTAATTACACATCAAGTTTTACCTGTACTGACTCATCATCAAGCAACAATTAATTAATTAATGAAGTTTTCAACTGTGATTGTTTTATTTAGCCTAAATAATTTATTAGGGAATGATGATCATAGTAAATCCAACTGTTTTATAAATGACCATGAAAAAAAAAAACACATGTAAATAATATCTACACTGGAGTTTGGAACAGTGGGTCAGAAACTTGCGCTGGAACGCAGTCTTTTTACGCAAGAGATGGTGAGTAAAGCAAACGGTTTAAGTAATGTAGCTAACAACAAATTTAATTTTGAGGGGGAAAACAAGGAAAATAACACATTACCTCATCCTTTCTCCAAAGCGACCTGTCATCGCTGCGCAGCAACAAACTCCAGCTGCTTTTGGACAGAAAAAAAACTGCACAATTATTTGTCAACCCTGACAGCAAATCTGCTCTGGGCCAAATATAGATGAGCATTTGGCCCGGACCTGTAGAAGGACCATGGGGCTGTTTTTTCTTTCTTTCTCCACAACCCGTCAGTGTGGATCTGGAGAGCACATGGTGGCGCACAGGTTTGGGACAGATGTGGCACAAATACAAAATTATTATTTTATCTTTAGGCTGCTTTGGTCGACTCAGATGGGATCAGAACCAAAAGGTTTTTAGCAGATTCATCAGCCCCACCCAGAGATGGCACATTTGCATAAAACCTCTGTTGACTATATTCTCTGCACAGGTTGTGTGCACCGCGCCCCATTTAAATAGCTACTTTATTAACTCATTATCAAGAGTTGTTCTCATTTTTACATCATTATACAAGTTAGGAACTGTACTGCCATTTAGAGAATATTACACCAACATAAGCACCAAGTAGATAAACTCCAGCTTGCGAGCGTGCGCGCACCGTCAGCTGAGCGCTGTGCAACAAAACCAAACCATGCAGATCTGGTGACTTGTAAAAAGATTTAGTCCTGATTAATGCTGTCGGTTTTGTCTGTGCCTCTGTCTGTATCTAGACAGAGAGAGAGAGACTCAATCATAACTTGTCAGCATTGGGTGCAGCCTGTAAATGTCTGTGCTGCTGATGGGCAGAGCCGTAAAGTGGGGGACCCCCTTGGCCCCCCTATTCCGGCGCCATTGCCCTAAACACTCCACCACAGCCGCCCCACAAACAAGCTAAACTGAGGTCCTCCATCTATATTTTCAGTTCCAGGCTGAGTCATTTCTACCTTCTCCTCTCTGTCAACGCTCTCTGGTTTCATTTAAAAGAGTCGATCATCAGATATTGTCCAAGATTAACCTTCAYGGTGGATATAGCTCGCTAGCAGCCTCACATCGAGGACCTAGCCACGTCATCATTTACCCAGAATGCTTTGTGTGTAAATAAAATGGCCCCATCTGTGTAATATATTTTCAAATTTTTAGTTTAAAAATTATAAAAACTGAACAGCCTACAGTATTTTTACAGTCTTTATTTTACAGTTAAAATATATGTTTATTAAATAAAGTATAATGTTACAACTAATCATGGATCCCTTGTAGAAGGAGGCCATCAGGGCTTGGCTTGTCCTGAAGGACTCCAGAAGCAGCTAAGATTTCACCTGTCAAAACTCAGATAAAAAAGAAGCAGTGCAAATATTTTTGTCAAACTTTGGATCAAATCTTTATAATTATTGAAGATAAGGGTTTGGTTTTCCAGTCAACTTGTTTTATGTGGAGCTGGAGAAGGCTTATAACTGTAGGTGGTACTATGAGAGTATAGAGTGCTATAGTCACTTGTTGGCTATCTAGTAACTGTGAATCCAAAGGGAGAGCTGGGTCCACATTCTCGCTCCAAAGCCAAGTTTATTTTCAGTGCAGGTTGCAGTCTGCCATTGTTGTCTATTGTCTCTGATCCTGTTCAGGGAGAGGATGCTCTAAGAATACAGAAACCTATGTAACTTTCTGTCTGTTTTGTTTAACACAGTTAAAATTAAAAATATTCTTGTTTTGGAGGCATCTGTCTGATTAATCTGTAGTCTTGAAGGTGTTACTTTGACTGATGTCATAATGAAGAAGTGAGGCCAAAAGGTAATGCTCTCATTTTACTGGTCTGTCTATGTTCCAACCCTTCTCCACGGTAATGACTGAGATCCTGGATACAAGTGGCTAAATTGAATTTTCTTGACACGCTGGTCAAGTTCAGCCTTGGAAATCAGGTGAGAAGTTTCATCATCCAGGYGAAACTTCATGTAGAGCTGCTGCTGCTGAAAAAAAACCTATTCAAAGTCTGAGATTTGTTGGCCATTTGATCAGGTTATCTCCTGGTTGGCTCTGTTTGAGTGAGTTTTGGACACTTGGTTTTTGGAAGAACTCTCAGACCCAGAACTCATTGGAGGAATTTCCTGTTCTCTCTGTCCTGTGAACCACTGGGGATTGAAAAACACACACGAAGTGATTAAATCACAAGATTTACAGATTGGAGGGTTACTTCCAGTACAGATTATTTTCATTTTGAATCTGGATCCCACAGGTCTAAATGTGGACTCGGTAGTTGCAGAAGATGACAGCTTCGACAGGAAAAAGCCACCGGGCATCGAAGGGCGATGCCAAACCATGAGTTCCAATGCTGACTCACGACCTGCAGGAGGTACAATGGAGCGCCGACACACCATCTGTGGAGTTGACTGGAGGCCGTCACTGTCAAGAAGTAACCATGAAAAAACCCCAAATGTTGACAAAGGGGGCGGGGAGAGAGGAGGAGGAGGAAGTTTAGAGAGAAGGAGAATGGGAGGGAGCTGGGAGAGGAGGCAACAAACCTGCAAGACTGGAGGAAGCTGGGAGAATCGCAGAGCACGACCTATGAGTGGCAACTGGGGAGTGGGAGGGGGGAGCTGGGAAAGAAGGCATGGAGGTGGTATGTGTGGTGGAGGAGGAGGGAGCTGGGAAAGGAGGGGAGGAGGTGGTGGGGGAAGCTGGGACCGGCGACAAGCATGCACAGGAAGCTGGGAAAGAGGGAAAAGTTACGGCAGTTGGGAGAGAAGGAACTACAACCCACTGGAACCCACCCCCTGTCCCGATGCCTACTGCAACCTGGTGATTCTTGCRGTCGAGAACCGGGTGAGTCACTTAATCAGTTAGAGAACATGCCTCATGATGGTTCCAAATGTACAACCCTGTTATAGTAAATTCCAAAGTCTCAAGAAAATGTTCTAGAAATAATATTCTAGAAGTAGTTAAGTTTGTTCTGTTAGTGGTGTTCACAATTCTTTTGCAGGATTCAGCTGTTGTCTCTGCACTCCCATGGAGGATGTCATCCACTTGTTGTGTCGTCATAATTTTTTTGTTTGGACACTGAATACTTTTTGAAAAAATAAAACATTAATTAAAGTGGTTGTGGAAGAAAAACCCTCTTGCTCAGCAGTTTCACAGCTTCCTCCGTAAGCTCTTTTTATGACACCTGTGTTACCATTTGAATGGTGTACTTCTTCAGTCAAACGCTCCATCTGCCAGCAACTCAAGAGTGGACCACGACAGCAGGGGTTACATGCTTGACACCAGTTGAAGCCAACGTCATGTCTCACCAAACAAAAACATATGAGCAGTAGAATTTTACTGCAGCTGATTAAGCAATACCAGGGCCCTCATGTATCAATGGTGTGTATGCACAAAAACCTTGCATATTCCATTTTCCACGCAAAACTGGATGTATCAAAACTGAAATGAACATAATTTCATTGGACACAAAAGCGAGCAGCCCCATGCCAACGCCAGGGCTGGCYTARYCATGTTTCTGTGGTTTTAGTTCCAGTGGTGACACTTAGAGGTGATTCTGAGAAAGCGTTCATGATGTGAAAATGATTATTATTCACACCAGACACACATGATTAACAGTTATTACATCCACATGATAACAATTATTACYTCCACATGGACGCAGTTAGATAAATGATGCACAAAGCTGTGCAAAAAATAACTTTAACAGGAGCGGATTCAGCGTTGCAGGAGGATTAGTGTAATAACAGAGCATTTATTTATAAACAGAATTTTATGATCCAAGATGACGAGTAACTCATCAGCCGTTTTCAGGAATAATCCTTTCTCAGTTTGGCACTGCTGTGCTCTGGAGCGCGACACAGCTCGGAGCTGTGTGCCGCGRGTGCATGTGCAGAAGCAGTGATCGAACTGGGATTCCACAGGGGCTTTCCAGAGGAAGCTGGCAGACCTATCGGGACTGTGTCAGTCCAGTCCTCCCAAAGCCGAATCATGCCCAATGGAATCATCTCATCCWWATGATTCTAAAGGCTGAGTTATGGTCGCGCTCTGGAGCGCGCGCACCCACGCTGGCAGTGGAGGTGTTTCATACTTGGCATTTACGTTGTTGTAGATTTCTCCAAAATGACATGTATACAAATTGTGAAAATGCTGTAAGTAGGAGTAGGACAGGGGGATCACACTTCTAAGCCTCCCTGGTAAGGTCTATTCAGGGGTCCAGGAGATGAGGGTCCATTGGATAGTTGAATTTCAAATTCAGGAAAGAGCAGTGTGGTATCGTCCTGGTCGTGGAACTGCGGACCAGCTCTACACCCTCAGCAGGGTCCTGGAGGGTGCATGGGAGTTCACCCAACCAGTCTACATGTGTTTTGTGGACTTGGAGATGGTGTTTGACCATGTCCCTTGGGGAATTCTGTGGTGGATACTCTGGGAGTATGGGGTAACAAGCTCGTTGATATGGGCTGTTAGGTCCCTGTATGGCCAGTTTCAGAGTATGGTCCGCATTGCTTGTAGTAAGTTGGGCTCGTTTCCAATGAGAGTTGGACTCTACCAAGGTTGCCCTTTGTTATCAATTCTGTTCATAACCTCACAGAATTTCTAGACTCAGCCAAGGTGTTGAGGGGATCTGTTTTGGTGACCTTAGGATCACGTCTCTGCATTTTGCAGATGATGTGATCCTGTTGGCTTCATAAGATCGTGGTCTACAGCTCTCACTTGAGCGGTTCGCAACAGAGTGTGAAGTGGCCAGGATGAGGATCAGTGCCTCCAAATCCGAGACCATGGTCTTGAGCCAGAAAAGTGTAGAGTGCTTTCTCCTGGTTGGGGAAGAGGTCCTGCCCCAAGTGGAGGAACTAAAGTATTTCGGGGTCTTGTTCATGAAAGAGGGAAGAATGGAGCGGGAGATTGATAGGTGGATTGGTGCTGCGTCCACAGTAATCTGTACCGATCTGCCATGGTAATGCGAGAGCTGAGCCAAAAGGTAAAGCTCTCAATTTACTGGTCAACCTATGTTCCTATCCTCATCTATGGTCACAATCTTTGGGTAGTAACCAAAAGAACAAGATTGCAGATACAAGCGGCCAAATTGAGTTTCCTCGGCAGGATGTCCAGGCTCTCCCTTAGAGATAGGATAAGAAGCTTGATCATCCGGGAGAGACTCCACATTAAGAGAAGCCAGTTCAGGTGGTTTGGGCATCTGATTAGGATGCCTCCTCGATGCTTCCCTGGTGAGGTGTTCTGGGCATGTCCCATTGGGAAGAAACCCAGGACACGCTGGAGGYACTATGTTTCTCAGCTGGCCTGGGAATGCCTTAGAATTCCTCCAGAGGAGTTGGTCCAAGTGGCTGGAGAGAGGGAAGTCTGTAAGTCATTTAGACATGAGGGCAGTTGCCAAGGTGTGTACAAAGTGGAGCATGAAGGTATGATGTTGGCAACAAAATAATGTCCATAATCTAGAAAACATTTTAGCAAACTGTGTAAAATGTGTCTGTAGAACTTGCTGGTTGCAAAAACTGAAAATTCATTGAAAATGCTACAGAAAAATCAACTGTGTTTTACATTTTGTTGCCAAATAATCACAGTACAGCAAGATAGTGGTTTCAAATGTTCAGAGAAAATGTTGCTTCAGCAGAGGACTGAACTAATTCTCTATGACAAAAGTTGGTGTGTTATGTGTGCAGGACGCTGCAGAGGAGTATTGTTCTCTCATTTGCCAGATGTTCCAGATCATTTATGGGCATCAGACCATTGAGTGTGTTGACAGGGCAGGATTTCACCACACCATGCCAGATCGCTATTGGCTGCAAAGGAGTGAGTGTCGCACACAACTGTGTGTACAGTTCAATATAATAAAATAAAAAACATGCCCGGGTTTTTTCAAATCTCTTTACATTCAACTAAATATCTTCATATGAGTGTAGTTCTTTAGAAAACTTTCAGATCTTATTCATTTCTTCACGTTTTTTATGTTTTAGCCTGGCACTAAAATTATTTCTTGTTTTCAAAAATCTATACTCAGTAGGTACCGAAGTGAAAACAATATTTCAAATGCACTGAAGGTTTCCAGAAGCTCGGCAGGCTCTATAACTTTGGCTGTAGCTGAGGTGTTAAGAGAGTCATCCTCCAATCAGACAGTTGGCACGACTCCCCGCTATTCAGTCACATATCAAAGTGTCCTTGGTCAAGACACTGAACCCCCTCTGCCTCTAAAGTGTGCCCRYTCCCTTCAGTGTGTGAATYCGATTTAAAGCACTGATCATCACTTTGTAAAGAGTGCAATGTAAGTGGGTAAATGTGGACACAGATTGTAGTGTAAAGCACTTTAAGTAACCTGCTTGMATAGAAAGGCACTATATAAGTACAGTCCAGTTTACAATATAACTCTTACATGGAAGAAGTTCGGCACAACCAGGACTTCTTCTACGAGCTGGTCTCCAGGCCACACTGAGCAGTCAAGAAAGCCAGATGTTAATGAGAGATGTGACCAAGAATCCAGTGGTTACTCTGAATAAGCTTCAGAGATCCGGTGTGGAGATTAGACTAAGATCTAGAAGAACTGCCAGATCAGCAGGTCTCCTCTGATCTGGGGTTTTTGGCAGAGGGCRTCACCTCAGAGCAACAACTGAATGTTGACTGAAAGACTCTCAACAAGAGAGGAGCAAGACTCTAGTCTGATAAAACCAAGACTAAATTGTTTGAAATTGGTCCTAAATCTTAATCAATGAGCCAACGTACATGGTAAATGGTTTTGAGTGGACCAACCAGAACCCTGATTGAATCTTATTAATTTTACCACACCATGCCAGATCYCTATTGGCTGCAAAGGAGTGTGTTGCACACTCCATATTTCCAGAAAGACCTGAAAATGGCTTATCAGACAGTTCCCATCAAACCAGACTAAGCCTGTGTAGACTCCCCACCCTGTCCCTTAGTTAAAGTTGCAACCTATCCAGGGTGTACCGTGCCTTACAGAGTAAAAAACTGATAGACACTAGTTTTCCTGCAACCCAGCATGAAAAAGCAGATAAAGAAAACCGATGGATGGCTGGATCATCAGATATTATTGAATACATGTGCTATGTTGCAGGTGACAGCTGTCTGACTGACATGTCCTACAGCTATAATCCAGAGTTTAGCTGCTGCAGTTCATAGTAAGTAACATTTTGACATATTGCACTTGACTCATTTTTTWATGTTTTGCTATTGAAAATCTCATGTTTACTGCAACACAGTGATTAAAACTGTTACTTTGTTGTCACTACGTAGGAATGAGAACATGAATATTTGTCTCTATGTGTTCTTGTGTTGGACTGTCAACCTGACCAAGTCTAACGTCTTACTCAATGACTACTGGAGATGAGCACCAGCTCCCTGCAATCCTGCATGGAAAAGTGGATTTAAAAATAAATGAATGGATGCTTACAAAACACAGTGCAAKTTTTTGTGTTTCATATATTTATTAAAGTTTCCACATACAATTGAAATRATAAAAGGTAAATGTTAGGATCTGTTTCTCATGTTCTGTCTTCCTCTTGTGTTATTTGTTCTCATTATCATCTTTTCCTCTGTCATAACTGTTTTTTCCAGTCCTCTCCACCTCCCTCACCTGTCTGTAATTTGTAATCTGCTTCCAACACAGGTGGTGCCCATTTCCTCTCTCCCTTTGTAAATCTGTTTGTATTTAACCAGTCTCTTGTCACCACTTCCTTGTCRGTTCATTGAATYGTTCCRRCTGGCTCTCCTCCAATGTCGCCCTTAAGTTTTTTTAGTTTATTTCCTCAAGTCAGTCTGCATCATTGGGTCTGATCTCACCAAAACTTCARAGTWAAAAAAGAAAGAAAAAWACAAACAAACAAGCAACGTCCCAATAAATACTGTCACCCACTGGGTATGGAACAAACAATAAAACCTCACAATACCATTGTATAGATAAGGGGTGGGCAGTCCTGGTCCTCGAGGACCACTACCCTGCATATTTTAGAGGTTTCTGTGCTCCGATACAKCTGATTTGAATGAAAATGTGATTACCAAGCTTTGGCAAAACTTGAGAAGGGAATTCAGTCACTGAACCAGGTGTGTTGAATCAGAGAATCAGTACAACATGCATAACAGCAGCCCTGGAGGATTAGGATTGCCCACCCTGGTGTAGTTCCACAGCTCAACCAAAACTCCAAGGGCCAATTATTGCTGGACCTGTGTCGAGGATTGAGTAAAAAAGGTGAAAAAAGATTTCCAGACTTTGTGAAACCTATTTTCATAGCCTGTCATCACGTGACTGATTTTTTCCAGCTTTAAGTTAATTTGTACATATTTTATCCAATGCAGTACTGTGGGTGGGGCAGCCACTTTCCATTTTAAAATATTTAGGTGCCATGTTGATAATGCAATGACCTTGTGATCCCCAGCATGTACACCTAATGCCTCAGGGGGGGGGATCCTAAAAAGCAACATTAATGGGTTTGGGGTTATCTTAATGCCTAATACAGCAGAGAGTTCTTCACAGATACCAGTCCAGTATATCTGTATCTTGTGGCTTCCTCCAATTTACATCTGTCACATGCACAGTGCAGCTTTTGTTGTACAATCACTACGTAAGCTCAGCCCAAAAGGCATAATTGGAAATTGAATAAAGCAGCTTGTGTTAACAGGTTGTGTGATTGTATTACAAATATAGGTGCAAAATACAATGATTGCTGGTGTGGTCTGTGTTTGCCAACCAGAACCTTCCTGTGTGAAGGTCCTTGTTGGTTCTAACGTCAGATCACAAAACATCTATATGTCCCATGCCACAATAAGACCACCTGATCTCATCCAGACCACACTGAGACCCCTGTTAAACTTTGTGAATTATTAGTAATTCTGCCTGATGCAGCAATGAGCAGTCCTTTCTGTCTACTGACCTCCACTCATTCTTTCACTATTAGTTGGTCCAGCAACTACCTGATAACACTTGTAATACTTGAACTAGTGCCTGTTCTACACAAGCCAGCTCCTCCATTGATGGATCCATCACTGGTCTGCACAAAGATTACATTTCATCCAAATTACATCATACGTAAAGTGCCACTGATGATTTTTTAAATATTATATTTTTGTTTGGTATGTTTCACAAATYTAAACTGTGCAGTGCTGAAATAGTTCAGCATCTGAGATTATTTTGTGTATCATGACTATGATCTAATGGTTCTGTTTTATTGAAGTTCTGTGAAAGCTGTTATAAATGATCAGAATGGTCTTCTGCTGTAGCCCAGAAACCTCACTTAACAAAGAGCTTTTTTTGTATTTTTCTGTTTGTCTTTAAGCGACGGCTCCCAGGAGGCCTTCGAGCTCTACTACAGTGAGACATACAGTGAGAGCTCCTCTGTCTCACTGCAGGACTCCCATCGCAGCCTGCCTTCAACCAGTGATGGAGGAGACAGTAACCCTGCCCTAATGCTGATGCAGGAATACATGATCACTGTAAGTTTGGACAACAACAGGTGGGGCTAACACCTGTCAATCACTAAACTGTATGAAATCAACCCATGAATAAAGTTTCATGCTGCTCTAGGCAATGGAAAAGTTACCAAATCTGTGTTTTTCTTGTGTGTCAGGATTGGTATTTTTCTGTGWATTGTTGCTTTCATCCATGCATTTTCTTCAGCTTATCTGGGGTTGGGTCGTGGGGGGCAGCGGTCTAAGTGGAGAAACCCAGACTTCCCTCTCCCCAGCCACTTAGGCCAGCTCCTCTGGGGGAATCTCAAGGCGTTCCCAGGCCAGCTGAGAAACATAGTTCTTCCAGTTGCTTTTATGTTGCTTTCATGACATTTATTTTATTTTAATTTTTCTGCATTTTCTTTTTGTTTGGTTTGTTTCCATTGCCTACCTGTGTACCTAGCCTTTTCCAGCACTTCTAGTACCTCTGTCAGTTCCACCTCTTTGTCCACACCCTCTCAGCTCCCTGTCTCATTGAGCTCGGTTGTCTCTATTCTTCTCATCAACCTCAGTCCTTCTGTTCCCTCAACATCACCCAACTCATCCTTCTGACAGTATGTGTGCATGAAGCCACATTCAGTTCTCCTTGTGTGTTTTAGTTGTTGCTGTCACATCCGTCTGAAGATTTTACTTGGACTTCTTGTGTTCAGTCTGCATTCCTGGGTCCAAACGTAATGAACCAAAAGAGATTCTGCCATATTCACAACAAGGCCCATCAGACTGACAATTCAAAGCTCTCGCTGGATCACATCCAGCAGCTTCACATGGTCGCTGATTCTGTCGCCACCTTGTCCAGCGTTTGGGTCGGATGGTGGGACACCAATGAATTTGTGAGGGAATTTTTGCACCTTTCCTGGTTAAAGAAATCACCTAATGACCGAGATTGTAGACGAAGTCTTACAGAAAGGGACCATGACCCCTGCATACTGAGAGCTGAGCCACCCTCCAGAGCACAACCACCTATAACAGTTCAGCGGTTCTCATGAGCCCAGCTGTTCTTGTGAGTCCAGCCACTCTCCAGAACCGACACTTAATGAGACTTTGCCAAACAGGTGGGAGTCTGTGGTCAAATGCTTCTCAGCGACCCTCCTTTGTTAAGATTTAATCAGAGTTTTCTTCAACAGTGGCTTTCTCCTTGCCACTCTCCCATAAATCTCAATGTGGTGAAGAACTTGGGCAGCAGTTGTATTCACAGCCTGCTGAAGCTTTACCTCTTCAAGACTGGTCACAGATGACTCACTACTCCTCAATTTGCATGGTCATTCAGTTTGTCAGAATGACCTCTTTGTAGATTCCTTCCACTTCTAGTTCATGGAGAAATTAAAATAAAATTCAAAAACTAAACTTACTATTTATTTGTTTGTGTGTGTGTGTGTGTGTTTGTCTGTAGCTGCGTAATAAGCTGAGTCCAGTGGAGCTGCAGCAGTTTGCTGTGTTGCTGAGAGAATATAGGCTGGGATCAAACATCGACAACTTCTGCTCTGAGCTGCTACAACTTTATGGAGATGACCGCAAGTTCCTGCTGATGGGTGAGACACAGAGTAGACATCATGAACAACTGTAACCGTGTGGCACACCACAACTTGCTGTTTATTTACACTTTATTTATAAGATTTTTTGAACATTATACATAGGATACAAAAAAACATAATTCCCTCCCTGGAACAATGTATCTACCCCCAAGGAAACCAAAAGCAAACAACAACAACAACAACAATAATAATAATAATAAAGTGTCCCTTTTCTAAACCTTTTGATAAAGCAGATAAAACAGCTGACTCAGCGTTCAGTTTATTAATGGATGATCTTTCACTCACCTACACCAACCAATCCCTGAGTGCTACAGCTAGCTCCGCCCACACCGAGCGACAGGAGGTGTGGCCAACATCGTCCAATCGTCTGCAGGCAGCGGT